GTGTGTGTGTGTGTGTGTGTGTGTGTGTGTGTGTGCGCGCTCTCTCGCGTAAGCACATTTGGGTTCAGAAGAGGTTCCTACCTCAGCGTTCGCTTGACCTTGTAATTTAAGCCTTCACCATTTTGAGCTCGTTTATCGCCTCTAACGCCCCATCGAGGAGAGATGTAATGAGTTGGAAAAGCCAGCCTCTACTTCTTTGCCTTTTTTCCTCATGTGGAACGCACTCAACAGTCCTTTGCTGATCATTGTGCTCACGTTCTTGTGGTAGCCATTTATGACACTCGTAGTTAGTGATCGTTGTTTTTTCGGTCCTCTTGCAGTTACAGTTGTCGTGCTGCACTGCGGATATACCTTCTTTTTTTTTTCAGGAAAAAAAGCACTGCTGGAGACAACGTTGGACATTCATGTAAGAAAATGAATATGATTTCCCTATTTCCCAATCGATTTTCGACTGAATTTCCCAATTGAGTTCCCAATCAATTTCCCAACTAGACTACCAGAGTGGCCCGAGACCACTTGCCCGGCTGGACCAAAAAATAAATTAAATAAAATTTTAAAAAAATATATTTTAATTTTAAATTTGGTAAAGAATTTCGATGTGACCCTGGGGCAAAAGTTGTTCAGTTTTTTTTTGTTTTTTTTTGTTTTTTGTTTTTGCTGGGACCATCTTTGGCCCTTGCACGGCCAGGCCGTCCAAGCAAACAAGGTGACCCAGACTGCCCGGCTGGTAGCCTAGTTTCCCAATCAATTTCCAAAATTCCCAATCAAATTCCCTATCAATTTCCCACTGAATTTCCCACCACCAGAGTTGCCAGGCCGAACGTACGGAGGCCCCTAAGCTGACCCCCGAACGTTCGAGTGTTCGGGTCCCCGTACGGGGCCCGAACTCGAAGGGGTTCGGACCCCACAAAAAAATAGTTTGGTACCTAAAAAATATTTTTTTTTTCTGATTTTTTTTTTTTGTGAGTTCTCTGTTATGTAAGCTACCTGTCTCTCAATTTTGAAGTCATTCTGTGGAGCCAAAAAATAATGAAAAATCGGCAAAGATGGTGGTGTCAAAACTTGCTTTCCCACTTACTAATTTGTGTTTTTTCTCTTTTCACTTTTTGTTTTCCCTTTATTTGGGGGCCTGAAAAAAATTATTATTTTTTCAAACTTTATT